TGTGTAGAGGGGATTTGCAGAGATTGCATAGATTAGTGATTTATTTGTCTCATATTCCACTGACACTCATTCATTGCATCTTTCCTCACTCTTTTCCCGTCAGGCCTCCTCCTCTGAGAGTATGGGAAGGTGGCTGGGGGTCTTGCTGGCCGAAACGGGCTCCACAACAGATCCTGCTGCACTGCACTACGATTACATTGACGTCGAAACCACTGCTAATGTCATTCAGCTGGCCAAGCAGTCGTTTTGGTGAGAACCCAGTACTGCTAAAAAATGTTTTATTAGCATGCCAGTAACTTTTTCGGTAACACTTTAGAATAGGGAACACATAGATTTCCCTGAACAGCCTCCTTATTTGCTGCTTATTAATAGTTAGTAAGGTAGTTGTTAAGTTTTGGTATGGGGTATGATAAAGGGATCTAAAATATGGTCATGCAGAATAAGGCATTAATATATGTTTTATAAGTAATATGCTAGTAATATGCATGCTAATAAGCAACTAGTTTACAGTGAGAATTAGTCCCTAATTTAAAGTGTTACCAAATGTGTTTGTCAGCTAAAATGAGATGCAGTTGATGAATTGTTAACTATATTTAAAGGATATTTTTGTCAAAAGACAACACTTATGACTAAAACAAAAAGCTCTGCATAAATAAGCACTGAATATTCAAAAGGAGCCATGTATCCTTGGTGCTAAATGCTAATCTATAACTCTTGACTCTTCATTTAATGCAAATTCAGCTATGGTTACGCTTGGCTAATATTTTGTACAGAATCCAGATCACAAAACCTTGCAGGAGCAGAATAAAAGGAATAATGGAGAACAATTAGATTTCCCAGTCCCACAGTGAATGTGCAAGCATGCTGCGTCTCTGAAATCCTTTTAATCTGTCAGTCTTCTGCTTATTAAAGTCACTGAATGCCATCTTGTCTAACATGAATTCCATACAGCCAATTTATGCAGAATGTTCTCACTAGGCAATTTTTACCTCTCTGTGTTTTAACAAACAACTAAATTGTTCTAAAATGGTCGAGAGCATAAAACATAAACTCCTGACCTCAAAACGAGTGATTTATTCAGAGAATATTTGTGAATTATTCAGAGGACATGAAAGTCTAAAAGATTCTAGCTGTGGGTGCTTTCAACTTCAGCAGGAAATCTTTACAGAGAGGACAGTGGAAGCTGTGGCATGAGGAAAGAGAAACAAAACAGATTAGAAGAGAGGAAAAAGAGAGTGTGCACCTGAAAGTGTGTTATAAGACAGGAAAGAATAGAAAGAAGAGTGAGAGGTACAGTTAAAAGCCATGATCTATGAAAAATGGCAGTAAAGAGGGGTATAAGAGATGAAAAGAAAAGCATATTTTCAGCCATGAAAGGCTAGTTGTGTGCTGCCCAGGGTGAGCCATGTGAAATTCAGCCCACATGGCTACTTCTAGTGTCTATCACAATGTGGAGCTTTCATGGGTTATTACTCCTCTGTGCTCTTTTCTACCTCTGTACAGAGGGTTTAAAACATGCTTGAATGGGCGGGAGAGAGAAATTGTGCCAAATTTCAGGGAAAAGGACCAGCATGAAGCTAGGATTATTCAAAAGTGCTGCTTCTCATCAGGGGTGAAAATCCGGGCCGCTGTCGTCACTCATAATAACTGCGGACATGGCGAGGAGACAGAAAGAGTCCGTGAGAAGCCCTTGTGGGTACATGGGGAGTTCACATAAAACGCTTTTAGTCAAAGTGGAAGATTGACTGAGGTGGAATGCAGGTGGTGTGGTAAAACAGTCAAAGTTTTATGTAATTCAACAATGCTGAGCTACATTAAAAGTCACTCTCAGAAACTGCAGACCGTTAATAAGAACGACCTGCTGAAAAGCTAAACCATGAATTTGATACTGGTGTCCCGACTAGCGTGTTTTATTTTATATTTATTTCATGTTTGCATGTCTGAATATAGTTTAAAATCTTGACTCATGTAATTCTGTTATTTTTGAGCAATAAATATATATTTTAAAAAAATTATAAAATAATAAACAAAATAAATAAATACAATGTATTAATATTTTTAATATTAATATTATTATAAAGTATATAATAAGAATGATATTGAATGGTTAACATGACTGCAAGTAATAGTAAGCATATGGAAGTTAAATATACTGTATGTTTGACCAATTTTTTCTTACAATATATTTGGTCACAGGTTAAATTGGCTGTTTTGTTTTTAAGAAAAATTATACAAAAATCAAATGAATGATTCAAATTAAAATTAAAATGTCACAATTTTCCAAAGTTACTGGTCATGCAATATGTGAGACACCGAAAAACATGTTTTCGGCTATTAAAAATTATTCAACAATAATTAATCAAAATAATGTATCATTTTACATATTTAATAATCATATCTAATAGTTGTCACTCCAATTTTGTGCCTTTACTTATAATGTTTAGGTCTAAAAACATTTGTTTGTTTATTGTTGCTCATTGTATATTATTTACATTCATTTAGATATAATTTATTTAGAATCATTTAGATTTATTTGCATGAAAGTCACAAGTTGCCAGAGTGTGTGTGTGTGTGTGTGTGTGTGTGTACAGACCCAGGCCTTTGGGTGTGATGCCACTGATGTGGGCCGGATTCACAGCCCAGTAGTAATACTTCAGTATGTGCATGATCTGCAGCACAGTCCCCACTCGACGGATGGTGTTGTAGATGGTTGCCGTGCCAATGAACTCTGCTGAGAGGTACGTGTATAGCGAGAGCTGCACCTGAACAACAGAGAAACACACACACACACACACACACACGGTTACAAAAGGTTACAGCTATCTCAGGTAAAAATAAAAATCACTGATGATTACTTTGCATCATCTTTCTGTTGTTTCTAAACTGCATCCCAAGATCCATCATTAAAATTATTTTCTTGTTAGATTTCCATGGGAGCGACACATCTGGCATGGCTAACTCTGCCGCAGAACAGCAGATCCGGTTAATATTTTAGCCGAAAGTCAAAAGGTGCCGTGGTTTGTTTGTGAGCAGCAGGTCAGGCCTGACTAGTGACGTGCTGCAGGAAAACCTTGGAGGACAAAAAACGCTGATGAAGGTACATAACTCATCCAATTACAGGCCCCACATGCCGGCAGACTGGGCTCTCCAGCGAGGACAGGAAGGGATGATGGGAAGGAACGAAGGGAGGATCAAAAACATGATGTAAGTCCATGAACTCTTCTGGCCTGAGGAGAGAACACTGCTGCTGCTGCTTGTGCTGCTCAGTTCATTATCCTCAACTAGTCTCATACTCCCTCTCTCTCTCCTTCTTTCTTTCTTTCTCGTCCTCTCTCTCCTTTTCATGTCTCCTCCTGTTTTTCCTTTTTTTCTCCTACACTTTCCTCCTTCCTTCCATCCTTGCTTCTTTGTATTCATCCATGCAGTATATCCATGTTTTCTTTTCTTTTCTTTTCATCTAGTCATGTTTTTTCTCCTTTACTTTTTCTTCTGTAATTCTCTTACTTTCCCCCTTTTCTACCTTTTGTCCTTCCTACCTTCTTTTTTCCTTCTTTCTTTTCTTCCTCACTTCTTTTCTTTCATTGACTTTATTTTCCCTTTATCTTCCCTCTGTCATCCATATACCCATTTTTCCTTTCTGCCTCTTTTTCTCTTTTGCTTGCTTCCTTCTGCCTCCTTTCCTCTTTTCTTTTTTTTCCAATGCATTCATCTAGCTGTTGACTTTTCTCCTTCCTTCACTTATCTTCATCACTTCTTTCTTTTTGCTTCATTTCCCCCTCTTTCCTTTATCTGTTCAGTTTTCATTTATATATATTTTTTT